CAAGGCCAAGGATAGCTGGGACAAATTACAACAGACTCTGTTGCTTGGAGCCATGTAAATGCATCCTCTTATACTTTGGAGGTCAGTGATCTGAAGTAGATTTCGCTGTTGGCAGGACTGCAGTCCCTTTGAGGGCTCTTGAGTAGGATGTTTCCTTGCCTATTCCAGTTTGCATTCCTTGGCTTGTAGCCCCTTCTTCCACCTTAAAAGCCAGAATGTAGCATCTTCTCATCTGCCTGACTCTGACTTTCCTGCTCCCACTTTCACTTCTAAGGACTCTTGTGATGGCATTGGGACTATCTGGATAATCCAGGGTAAACCCCCTATCTAAGGATCCAGAACCTAATCATACCTGCAAAGTCCCTTTTGCCATGTAAGGTCACATATTCGCAGGTTCTAGGCTTTAAGACGTGGCATTAGGATGAGGGTCATTATTTGGCCAGCCACAGCAGCCAAAGTATTACCAGCATGGATCATGTGGCCATCCCTGGGGACAGAGACCTTAGAGACAACCTCACTGCAATCCCAATAACTCAGCAAGGTGATGATGAAAAGGAAAAGAAACCAAGCTCTAAGACTCTGAGAGACCAAGTTGGAGAAGCCCCAACTGGGTCACGTGGCCACCAACTCTGCTAATCACAGCCAACAATTTCTTGCAGAAGCAATGTACTGGAAGAACACTCTAGGTCCCAGGTGGGCTCTACCTTTTACCTCTCTGTCACAAATGGTCTCCTTGGCATTCAAAATGTACCCAGAATGGTACCTGAAATTTGGGGTCTTTCTTTCCTCTTGCTGGTCAGTCATGGATTAAACATTCTCTTCTAATTTCCTTTATACTTCCCTTAGATTTTTTTTCTTCTGTGAGTTAATACTGAATATTGATGGATGGATAGATTGATTGTACTGAATATTTAGATTCACGGTTCAAAAAGGATTTGGCATAAAGTAGAAAAGTGCTCCTTGGTCAACTTCTCCATGCTGGGGCTGCAACCTTGCCTTGCTTTACAGCAATCAGTCAAGCTCAAGGGATCTGGCCAATTGGAGGAAAATACCCACTCCTCCGCACTCTGAACTGATTTTTTTTCCACTCAAGATGCCCCAGATGAGTATGTTCAGTCCAGGGAGAGCAGTGCAATTACTCGTGGTCTAATTTCTCTTCTGCTAAAGAGGTAGAAATAGAAGCCACATCAGATGATTTAAAACAAAAAGGCGAGAACCACATTTTTGTCACTATAGCTAATTTCCCTGAACTCCAATGCTATTGTACCAAAGAGAAAATGAACACAACTTGGCAGCTCCAGAATTAATTTATTTCCATACACCAAAGCCCCAGACATGGGTGAAAGAGTATGGATTTGGATTCCTGCTCCCAAGTCTGTTTGCTGGTAATGAGAGAGGAGACCATCCCTCTGTGTGGAATTGGACTACTATGAGTTAATTGTTATTAGGCAACTATGGGTTAATTAGGTAACTATGCTCTTTGTAGACTGTACCTAAGTAGCCGTGACAACTTCTGTAATCTGTCACCAAAGGAGTATAACGGACTCAGAAAGTCCTGCCAGAACTCTTTGCTCTGCCTCCTTCACTGCTCTGCTTTGTGTAAATCCTGCTTGCTATATTCCCAGGGAAACTCCAATGGAATTAAGCCTTGTAGATGTAAAAAGAGGAATATAAGAAAGGGCAAACTTGGGCTCTCAAGACTGATAGGAGACACTCACTGAGCTGCTGGCATTAAAAGCCGCTTTTGCTCCTATCTTCATGTTAAAGAGTTATCTGTGCTGGGGTCCTCACTGTTTCCTCCTTCAGTAACACAATCTGCCTCCTTTTCTGTTGGTTTTGCACCTGTGAATTCAACCAAACAAGGATAGAAAATATTTTAAAAAACTGACAACTGAACTGAACATGTACAGACTCTTTTGTTGACATTACTAAGTAATACAGTAAAACAGATATTTACATGAGATTTACATTGCAATAGGCATTAGAAGTTGTCTAGAGTTGATTTACTATATATGGAGAAGGTGGGTAGGTTCTATGCAAACACTGTGGCATTTTGCTGAGAGAGTCAAGCATCACAGATGTGGGTATCTGTGGGGATCCTGAAACCCATTTCATGCAGATGCCAAGGGACAGCTGGTGTGGCAATGACACCTGCTCCCACTTCAGGCAGGAAATTCATACAAGGCCTCTGTTCAGTAAAGTGCCTTGTGACCCTCAGACTTCATTGTAGTGTGCTCAGGTCCCTCTGTGCCCTGCAATGAACAAGGTGAAGAGGCAGCCAAAGCCTCATCTTTAGGAAGTGACAACCAGCACACAGACTAACAGGAGGCCTGCAAAAAAATCCCAAAGCTGGAGATTATAAATTTCTGAACAGCAGACCAGGTTTCAAAAACCATTCAGCAAACATCAACTGAACATCCAGAGTGTTTAAGGGAGATGTGGACCTGCTGGGGAATCTCAAGGCCACTGGGTGATAGGAGCCAGTGGAAATGTTGGCAGCTCAGGTGAAAAGTGCCTGGACACATGACCAATATCCCCAGAGAATAATTTGTCAAAATGTTTAAGGATCTTTTAAAATTCCTGCTCTTCCAATTAATGTTTCTAAGGAGGTGTGTGTGTGTGTGTGTGTGTGTGTGTGTGTGTGTGGTGTGACAAGGAGCTAGTCCAAAATTTAGGACACAGAATGATGGACAAAAATGTTTACCACAGGGTGAAAAAAATTGAACCTGGGGCTGAGGTGTGACTCAGCAGTAGGCACTTGTTGAACATGCAAAAGGCCCTGGTTTCTCTTCTCAGCACCAGAAAAAGAGTGGGGCAGGGCGGGGAGAGAGAAGACAGGAGAGAGAGAGAAGGAAGGAAGGAAAGAAAGATAGAAGGAAGGAAAAAGAAAAGAAGAGAAAGAAGAAAGAAAAAAAGGAAAGAAAGGAGAGAAAGAAAGAGAAGAAAGAAAGAAAAATTTCCACTCTAGTGGACGGTTAAGGATTCACAGTAGACTGATGTTGAAGAACACTATGAAGTATGTGCTGAACAATGGTGTTTTGGTCAACAATGGACATGCACATGAAGTTGGTCCCATGAGATTATGTCACCAAGTGATGTCATGGTGACTCAGTTTGTGTTAAGTGCACTTTAGAAGTTCATAAAATGGGAAAATTGATGAATGACACATTTCTCAGAACCTATTTTTATCATTGTCACACATGATTGTAATTTAAAATATTTTCATGCAATAATTAATAACATAGGAATGTTTATAAGGTTCGATAAAGTCAAATACAAAACAATATATATTCGATGTAATATATATAAAGTACGTACAGCTGTCCCTCCATTTATCTGTGGGGGATGGGTTCTAGGAACCCTCAGACAGGGGTCTTCGACCTTTCTGGGACCAGGGACCAGTTTTGTAGAAGACAATTTTTCCACAAACTGGAGATGGGAGGATGGAATAGTTTCAGGATGATTCAAAGGAGCAAGCAAACTAAATCCCTTGCATGCACAGTTCACAGTGGTGTTTGGGCTCCTGTGAGAATCTAATGCAGCCTTTGACCTGACAGGAGGTGGAGCTCAGGCCATAATGGGAGTGACAGGGAGCAGCTGTAAATGTAGATGAAGCTTTGTTGCCTCACCTGCTGCTCACTTCTTGCTGCGTGGCCTGGTTCCTATCAAGCCATAGACTGCTGCTGGGTATCAGTCCATGACTGAGGGGTTGGGGACCCCTACTTTTGGATAGCAAAATCCAAGGATGCTCAAGTGCTTTCTATAAAGCTACATAGTGTTTGCATAGGACATATTCACATCTTTCTGTATGCTCTTGGTCACCCTAGATGATTTATGATACCAATACCTAATACAAGAGAAATGCTCTGCACATAGGTGCCATATTGCGTTATTTAGGAAATAGGCATAAGAAAAAAATCGGTATGTGTTCAGTACCAATGTGATTTTTTAAAAAAGTTTTCCATTTGCTGTGGGTTAAATTTGCAGACACAGAACCACAGATATGGAGGCTGATTGTCCACCACAGACACAGATGGCCACAACTGGCACCCCCAGAATCATACGATACACAGCTGTCCACAGAGGTGCCACATAAATAAGCCCCCTCTGCAGTCTGTAAGCACTAAGGTGGAAAATGCCCAAAGGGTGACAAACATTTACTACCAATAAGAGCAGGGAGGGGTTTGTTTTTCCTTAGTTTTCTCTGTTTTCTACAATAAACATAAAGTCATTATCTAAAAACAACTAAAATCTCTTTTAAAATGAAGGAAACATTTGTCATGATAAAGGTTTAATTAAAGTGGAACATTCAAAAGAGGAAAATGATTCATTCATTCATTTTTAAGGATATATATATTTGATATATATATGATACATATAGTATATATATGATTATATATATGATATATATTTGAAAACAGAAACACCAAAATATCACTGGGTAGCTGGAGGCAGTGGGGCTGAGAGTGATGATTTCTTTCTTGATACTTCCTCATGGTTTACAATCTGGCAAAAAACAGGAGAAAGTTCTCTAGAAGCAAGGCAGAAGGAAAGATTGGGTTTGACCAGGGTGAGAAGCCAGGAGAGCTGCCCAGAAGAGGCAGCGTTGATCTGGGAAAGGCTGAGAGCTGGCTGTGGCCACAGATGTACAGGCCACCAGGTCCTACTGGGGTCTCCTGCCGGCCCCTTCCTCAGGGAATGGGAAAGGGGCTGACATCAGATGCCCCATGAATCGAGTCACAGAGATCTCCAGAAACAGGCGGAGGTGCACACCCCAGCCCAACAGTGGGCCTGTGGACTCCCTTCTCCAGGGCAGTCATGTGAAAAAGGTCTCCAGGAAGCATCACTGATCCAGAAAAATGCCCTCAGCACCCAGAAAGTGGCTCCTAGCCCAGGCAGGATCCAGCTCTGAGTGTAGGAGCTGCCACATTGCCCTGTACCTTCCGTGTCTGTGAGCTTGGAGCACATTGCACAAATAACAATGTGGCTTTTCCCTACAGCTATATCCAGGTCTCAAGCAACAAGATGGACAGAGTGCTCATCATCTGTGACTATGGCTCAGGCTTCAGCAAGGTGGGATTTGCAGGAAAAGAGGCCCTCCTGGCTGTTTTCCCAACCATCCTCGGGAAACTTGGGCATGATGTGAGTGAAGTGGGGCATCCTCCTTGGGTGCTGTCAGCCCCAACCCTTCTCCCACTGGGCTGGGCAAGGTGGTCCTCTGAGCTGGCCTCAGAGGCATGGGAGCACCTCCTGGTGACACACAGAGGCCAGGCCCACCCCAGAGTTCTACTTCAGCTGGACTGGGCTGAGGTAAGGACTTGCAGGTCTAGCCACACCCAACTGCCATTCTGTCAGAGCCTCTGGCTTCTGTGGAGCAGCTGGTGACAGAAGTTAGTGTCTTGGTTTGTTTTGTGCTCTTAGAAGGTACGAGAAAAAATACAATGAATGTTTAAATTTTAAAAATTTATTATAGTAAAAGACACATTACCGTTAACCCCTTCAGAATGCTTCCCCTCACTTCAAACACACTTATTCCATCATTCTTGCCACTTTCTGAAGCACTTCTGGAAGTCCTCTTTGCTAAGTATCTTTAGTTCTCTGTCATAGTTGCCTCGATGTCCTGAATTTATTAAAAACATTTACCTTTTGTGGTTATTTAGACTTTGGGGAAAATCCAGAAGTTGCACAGTGCCAGATCAGGTGATTAAAGTGAATGAGAACGCACTGTAATGTTTTTACAAGCCTGCCTTTCCATTGGATGGCACTTGGCAGCAGTCCATTTTTTTTGTTGTTGTTTTTTGGTTTTTTTGGTACCGGGGATCAAACTCAGGACCTTGCGCTTGCAAGGCAGGTGCAGTACCACTGAGCTAAATCCCCGGCCCCAACAGTCTGTATTTTTGATCACACCTCATAAAGACACTCATGATGGGATATGTCTGTTCAAAACAAAGAGAGGTATTTTATGGGAGATTAATGGCAATATGTCTTTTATGGCAATACATTTTTAAAATTTAAACACACACCATGTTTTTTTTGATCAGCCCCTGTATGACACACTACACAAAGCTGGGTAATTCATGAAGAACAGAGATTTATTTCCTACAGCTCTGGAGACTGAAGTCCAAGGCCAGAGGCCTGCATCTAACTGGGGCTTCTTGCTGCCACCATCCCATGGCAGAAGGTGAGGGGGGAATGGAGAACGAGAAGGTGTGGACCAAGGGAACGTGCATCCTTTCATCAGTTCCCCAGGTAACACTAACAGCATTTAAAAAATGTAAGAGGCATTTTTAGCTCATAGGCTCATAGATACAAAAAACTGGGCCAGCTTTGTAGGGCTAAGGTTTCACGTGGCCCCAAACCAGCTGCTCACCTAGAAATCCTGTCAGAAAGGACTGGACTAGGAATCCTGCGAATCTTAGTCTCATGCTTTGTATCAGTTTGCTCAGGCTGTCCTAACAAAGCACAACCAAGCACAACCAATAGTCACTGTCTCATATTCTGGGGCCTGGAAGTCCAAGATCAAGGTGTGAGCAGGGCAGGTCCCTCCTGAGGCCTCTGTCTTTGGCTGGCAGATGATGTCTTCTCCCTATATCCTCATATGGTTGTCCTTTATGTGTCTGTGTCATGACTTCCTCTTCTTATAGGACCCCAGTTAAATGGCTTAAGACTTGCCAGAACCAGAAAGGGGCTGGGCAGATGGCTGGGAGGAGACTGGCACTGGAGCTGTGTCCCAGCCATTCTCCGGGGAACCAGTCTGGTGTGTTAGCAGTTTCTGTTGAAATTGATCCAGGGAGCTTCCCAGAAGGGCCTCCCAGGCTCCCAAAATAAGGCCTTTGTGGCTAGTGATGCCTGCTGGCTTCCCCAAGTGCAGGAGCCGCCAGAGATAAGAGAATGCAGGGCATCTGGCTTAATCTCCTACACAAGTGAGAGGGGTGGTATCCCAATGTGGCTCCCAACTTGCAATACACAGACTTAGCTTTATCCACAACCACCTGAGCAGCGCCATGGGAAAAGAATGGAATGTCCCAGTCCCACCAGCCCTCCCTCCCCTCCTCACGGTGTCTCCCAGAAGCAGGAGCTCAGGGCCCCTCCTCTTTCTCTGTTCTTTGCAGTTTCGATGCAGAGTTGTTCCTCCTCCCAGAAACCTAACTCTTTTGAATAGTTCTGATCAACCCAGCCAGATAGCAATGCACTATCCCTGCCTACTTTGGAGGGTTTTATCAGGTGACTTGGAGAGGGGATGGGAGAATAAACTAGAGGAAGGGCAGCAGGCACTTAGACCTCACAATATCATAACTGCCTGGGTGACCCAGGACTGCTGTAACACAGAGCGCTTAAAACAGTACACATCTGTTCTTCCAGAGCTCTAGGGGGCCAGATGTCAGAAATCAAGGGTTCAGCTGGACTGTGCTGTCCCAGCGCTGTCAGGGAGAGTCTTTCCTGCCTTTTCTAGCTCTGGGGACCTCAAGCATCCCTTGGCTTATGGCCTTGCCACTCTAGTCTCTGACTCTGACTTCATGGGACCTTTTCTACTTTTCTTTCTCTGTCTTAGTCTCCCTCAGCCTTTACCTCAAGGACACTTGACATTGGATGCAGGGCCCACCTTAAGGCCAGGAACATCTCCTTTGGGACCCTTACCTGAGTTATATCAGCAAAGACCTCTTTTCCACAAGTTACATTCACAAGGTTCTAGGGTTAGAGCTCAGACATATCTTTCTGGGGCCACCGTTCACCCTACTGCAGCTGGTTTCTCCCTGTCACCATCAGCCCCAACTTTATCTTTCATGTTTCTGCTCTGCACTGGGATGCTGGGGTTGCAACTCTGTAAACAGCAATTCCAGGACTTCTTTACCAACTGCTCTTGTAAGACTGTTCAGCCAGGACGTGCTAGAGGCAGACTGGAAGTGCAAGGTGGGGTGTCCTGGTCCTGCTTTCCCACTCTTTCCTGCACCCCTCCTGAAGCAGCCCCAAGTGCTCCAGCACCAGTCCTCTGCAGGGCCCAAGGCAGAACCCAAGTAGCCAATAATGCCCTCCTCCTGCTCCACCTCTGACCCAGGGGACTCCTCTGGGCTTGGTCCCAGGCCCCACCTGCCCTAATTGTAGACACAATTGTTTGTTCTGTAGTGTTGATGGCGCTTGCCTCGGGAATATATCTTGTATCCCATGGAAAAGTCGGAGGAAGCACATGTTAACTGAGCAGTCTTCCCCGTCATTCGTGGGATACTTCCCAGAAATCCCAGTGGGTGCCTGAGACCTTGAGGAGCACCCCACCCCACTCAGGCTGTTTTCCTCTGTATATACAGACCTAGAAAAAAGTTTAATTTATGAATTAAACATGGTAAGACATCAACAACAGTAAGTAATAATAAAATAGAGCAATGATAACAAGATCCTGAAATAAAAGTTACATGAATGTGATCTCTTCCTCAAAAGAGCCCTGCAGGCTGCACTGGGTCTCCATTTGTTTATGTTTTCCCTCAGCCTATGGGCTTCATCCCGGTCTTGGGGAGCAACAGCGGCTTCTGCCTCTGGGGAAAGGCCATACTCCTTCCAGGTCTAAGCTCCTGGCCCCTCCACGGCTTGAATCTGTGCCTTTCCTCACCTTCCCAAAGCATGAAGTCTCAGGGTATCCCCAGGGCTTCCACATCCCACCTTTCACCCAGGAACCCAGGCTGGCAGCCAAGATGGCAGCAAGGCCCCTTGTGGGAGTGCTGGAGGGAACCCAGAGGCAGGACACAGGTTTCACCCAGAGTCACTTGTCCATTCCAGCCTGAGCAGCCACTTTGACCCGCAGGCCACCCGGCAATAGGACACTAGACTGCACCCTGTACAACCTCAGAGACAACAACGGGGCTCCTTCCACACCCTCACAGCCCAAACACTGAGATGGGGCTCAGCCTGAGACAGTCAAAGGAGCCACTATAGCATTAATTGCCCTATTGTCCTGTGGGTCCATTCCACTATTGCCCCATAGCACTCCTCCTCCAAGATCATGCTCCCTGTAGTCTTATCCCAGACAACTGCTGAGCATGACCCGTTCCTGAAGACCCAGGACTCCTCTGACAAGCAAAAGTGGACCAGGAACTCCCCTTGCTTAACCTACCTGTCATGCACAGTAGCCTACGATTCCTGCTCATCTGACTCTTCTCTCTTGCATTTCAGGTCAGACATGGGCATCAGCTTGATAGCTCTGTGTCCTTGCTCCCTGCCCATTTTCATCCCCAGAGGGATGTTCCCTACTAACATCCTCGAACCTTTAATCCTACCTCAGTGCCTGCTCCTTGGTGGACCCAGATTAACACACTAGACAGCTGGTAACCCCCAACTGGCAGAATGAAAAGTTTCATCTCCCTTGAAAGCAGCCAGGTTCATCTTCCCAAAAGCTAGGACTTGAATCATGCTGCAGACCTTTTCCTGGCCAGCCTTCCCAAACAAGCATCCCAGGCATGCCCCTAAACCTGCCTGCCAAAGCTTCTCTCCATGCTGCTCTCAGTTTCCTCATCTGCAGAATGTGAAGATGAGTGTTCTGGCAAAGATGTCTTGGGAGCACTTCACATGCAGGTAGTTGGGCAAAACCTTCTAGTGGCCACTGTTGAAACTGTGCACAGGGCTGGAGAGGGTCCTCGTGCTCACACTGTGACTTGGGGCCCTTCCTGTTGCTGTTCATGTTGGCTGAGTGCCGCTGAGCCCCCACCTCCCACCTCTGCCCTGGGCTGATCCACCCTGCTATGTTTTCCAGACTATGTTGGTGGGACTGGAGGAGGAAGACTGGTTTATTGGAGATGACGCCCAGAAGAACAGAGAGAAACTCATTCTGCAGTACCCTATTTCCCAGGGAGCTGTCGCCAGCTAGGACCACCTGGAGAAGGTGAGTCACAGCTTCCACTGGGAGGACCTGGCATAGGACCCCCTACTGCTGCCTCAGCACCAAGGAAAGGATCAATATATTGCCAGGCACAGAGATCTCTGTCACATCTCTTAGCTCTTAGTCCCTCTTGACATCTCATCATGGTCTCAACTACCAGGCTTTGCAGTCAGGAGACCTGAGTTTGAATCTTGCTCCCACTGCATATTATTGATGTCATTTAGGACACAAGGTGTTGCCTCTGTAATCCTCAGTTTCCTTGTTTTAAAGACAGGCATAATTCCTCTTACCACACCACTGCTGTGGGGATTAAAGGAAACGATGGAAAAGAAGTCTTTAATCCCAGATACTAAGAAATAATACAAACGTGAAATCAAAGCTCTTTCTGTCCATAACCAAGGGTTCTGATCAGGGCCTCCATGTGTATTTGGGTAGGTTGCAAATGTCTTAGAAGATGTATCATAGTCAGACAGCTTAAACAGCAGAAATCCATTACCTCAAAATACTGGAGGCCAGAAGTCCAAGATCAAGATGTCAGCGAGGCCAGTTTTTCATGGCTGTGAGGGGAATCTGTTCCAGACCTCTTCCCTAGTTTCAAGAAGTTTTGTTTCCCATCTTTCAGGTTCCTTGACCAGCAGATACCCCACCCTGATCTCTGCCTCCATCTTCATATGATCTCCCTGTAAGCATCTGTGTCCAAATTGCCTGTTTTTCATATTGAATTATGGAATATTCCACTTCAGCATGACCTCATGGCAACTAATTACATCCACAGCAACCCTATTCCCAAATAAGGTCACATTCTGGGGTGCCAGGGGCTAGGACTTCAACACATGAATGGGGACCACAATTCATCTCCTAACTATGGTCTAACAGTGCATGACAAACTAACCACTGCCACCTCTGCCTTATTCTGCTGGTCCTATGGTCCAGTCATGATTCCACGCAGGAAAGGCCTGCACAGGGCATGGGTTGCAAGAGGCTGGCAGTGGGCACACCAGTCGCAGATATGTTCACATCTGCACAGCCAAAGTGTCGGCTCTGGTTGTGGCTCTGAGTGTGGAGGAGATGCAGATACTGGAGCAGTGTAGACTAACTTTGGAATGCACAGACCCCCAGCTTCTGGTGTCCTTTCCCACTGGGCTGTTTTTGTCCCCTCCCCTCCACTGTGTGGGGCTCATCCTGTTTGCCTACATCTTGGGGGCTGGTGTTGTGTCTGCAGTCAGTGCCAGCTCTGGGTTTCAAGTTTTTAGCCAAGTACAGTGTCTATGCTCCCAGTGCCCCATCTCGTCCTGATTCACCCACCCACACATACCCAGGGATAGGTTGTCACCCCCTGCTTCAAGCTACCAGAGTATCAAGGTATGAGTCCACCTGGGCTTTGCCACTGCAATAGGTGTTGTGATGGCTCAGATTTCTGCAACCTTATGATGCCTTCACAGCCAGAGTTTCTCCATTCCTCTTGCCAGCAGAGGTGGCCCTGGCTTCTCTCCATCATGAGCAGAGCTTCCCTCCTGAGGAGCAGACAGGAGCATCACATGTAATAATTAGCATTGTTTATGGAGCTCTACTATGAGCCAAGGTCTACATTAGGTGGCACAGGCTGGACTGTGCACTCCAGGAATTCTGATCTCTAATCCCTCAGAATATGACAGAATTTGGAGACAGGGCCTTTAAAGGGGTGATTAAGTGAAAATGGGATCATTAGAGTGAATCCTTACCCACATGACTGGGGTCCTTATAAGAAGAGAAGATTGGGATGCAGACACACAGGAAGGAGATGCCATCTACAAGCTAACAAGAGAGGCTCGGGAAGGACCAGTCCTGTGGACACCTAGATCTGGGACTCCCATTCTCCAGGATGTAGGACAATAACTGTCTGCTGTTGCAGCCACCTGGTTGCAGGGTTTGATAGGAAGTAGCTACATCAGGCTTTTAAACCAAGTCATTATCTAACCTTCACAATCCTCTCTGAGGTAGGGAATATTTTCCATCTTAAAGATGTGGACCTAGGCCCATGAAGGCCACTCTACTTTTCCAGGGCACATGCTTGTGTGTGGTAGAACTTGTCAATTCTGGGCTCTCACTGTGCAGAGCCAGCCTGCCTGGTCTCAGGCTTGCCCCACAGTGTGGGTGCAAGTGTTGGTACCCATCAGACCTGAGGTCCTCTAGACAGCACCATGCCTTCTGGCTCCATTTGCCCTGCTTCCTCCTCTAAGCCTTCAGCCTTCACCCAGTTGAAGGCTGTGTGTCCTGCTCACAGTCACACTCTACCTTCCCTGCCGCGTCATCAGGTCAAAATGCTCTGACTCTGAACTGGAGGCTGCAGATCCTGCCTAAAATACAGTAATCTTTAGGTATCTGTGGGGATTGTTTCTCGGACCTCCTCAGGTTCTAAAATCCAAGGACTGCAGGATGGAATGGCAGTACATGACTATAACCCACACATATCCTCCTGTATATTTTAGATAATCCCTTTCTGCTGCTTAATTAGCCCATCAATCTCCTACAATGGAAAGGTCATGTAAATAACTGTTGTACTGTATTGTTTAAAGAGTAATGGCAAGAAAGAAATTCTGTACATGTTCAGTTCAGACACATTTTGGGGAAATAGTTTTGATTCTTGTTTGGTTGAATATTTGGATGTGGAAAACATGGATTTAGAAGCCAACTGTACTGCTCGGTCAGATATACTAAGAAAGAAAGAAAAAGAAAGAAGGAAAGAAAGAAAGAAGGAAAGAAAGAAAGAAAGAAAGAAAGAAAGAAAATGAAGAAAGAAAGAGAAAAGAAAAGAAAGAAAAAAGAAAGAAGGAAGGAAGAAAAGAAAGAAAAAAGAACCAGGTGTGGTGGCACACTCCTATAATCCCAGCACTAGGGAGGCTGAAGCAGGAGGATCACTGCAAGTTCAAGGACAGTCTGGGCTACATAATGAGTTCAAGACCAGCCTGAACTACATAATGGACCCTATCTCAAAAAAAAAAAAAAGAGAAAGATAGATATAGATGATAAATGGATGACAGATGGATTGATGAATGATAAAGATAAAAGAAATTGATAGATGAGGGAGAGAGAGAGAGAGAGCTGACACACTGCTTGAGCAGCTGGGCTCTCCTCCATCCTCAGAGCAACCCACTCTGTACCCTCTGTCCCCCCAGATTTGGCATCATTCCTTCTACCAGGTGCGTCACACCGCTCCCGAAGACCACCCTCTGATGGTGACTGAACCCCCTTTAAATTCATCATCCACCAAAGAGAGAGTGTGCCAGGTAACAGGGCGCGGTGGAGGGAGGAAGGTGGGTTGAATCAGGTGGTAGAGCCTTGGGGTTGGAGTGGGGCCAGGTGGGGTGGGCACTGCAGGGGTCCCTGCTGGCTGCTGGTGTTCTCATGTCATCCAGACCTCCTAATGAGGATGCTGATGAGCTAATTAAGCAGCAGCAAGGTTCATCCATCTGGCCCAGATGAGCCTAGTGCTGTCTGCTTCAGTGAACAGCAACCTGAGGGGTAGGCCCAGGCCAAGGCCCCACCTGCACTTGGCACAACACGGCCAGGGTGAGGTGCCAGCCCTGTGAAAGAAAGCCCAAAGTGGGCTGCTGACCCTTCTCTGTGTGTGGGCCAGTGCTGGGCTTGCCCACAGACCAGGCACATCAGGCATCTGCCTGGAGAACACCCACTGTCCACAAGGACCTCGGGAACTGGAGGAGGACAGGAGGGTGAGGCTACCTTCACCCCAGGAGCAAGGTGCTCCTCACTGTACTGGGGAGAAGAGTTGTAGGTGTGCAAACATGTACAGAAAGAGCTATTGTGAGGAACTGTCTCCTGTGGTTACTGCTGTCACAAGCTGGAGACCCAGAAGAGCAATAATGCAGCCTCAATCTGAAGACCCCAGGAGAGGCACCCCCCAGTTTGAGCCTGAAGAGCAGAAGATCCCTGTCTCTACCCAGGCTCCACACTATTTTCATGGCTGCAAGTGACTTCACCAGCCACCTGCTTCCCTCAGTCTACCGACCCAATGTCAGTCTCATGCAGGAGCACTCCCATGGACACATCACTGTAACTTGCCTAAACATCAGCGTACCCAGAGTCTGCGCAGGTCGATCTGTGAAATTCACAGTGGCAACAGCCATGCGGTGAGCACTCTGCCTGCCTCTGGTGTATCTTGCATTCCCTGGGCCACTGCATACCTCTCTGCCCCAGATCCACCCCTTGTATGTCAGGGACCAGCAGGAGATCAGCAGAGCACCCTCTCGGGCTTCTCCTGCAGAAGTTGATAGGAAGATTGGACCCATGGCAGTGTACCTCTTAGAGAAAGCAGCTTGCATGCTGCAATGTGCCAGAGCTGAAAATGGGGCCATTGCCACCTTAAACTCTAAGGGGCAGTAATGGTCACCTGGAGAGAGGGCCCTCACCCAGGAACTATAGCATCAGAACAGGGACCTGGCTAGGGGCAAGCAGCAACATAAAAGCTCCGCTCCCTCTCTGGCATCCCCATCTCTTTTTGGTGCCTCTAGGGACAGAATCCAAAGGGGCACACAGGAAGGTGGCCAGGATTCCACCTAGGCAGAGGGCCGTGAGGAGACTGAGGAGACCAAGGATGTGGCAGCCAATCCCATTCCCCCCTCAGCAGGCAGGAAGAACATGGCCACATTGCAAGGAAAAGGACATTTCTGCCCCTATGGGCTCTGACTCCTCTCCCTCGTGCACCACCCACCCAGTGGGGCACCGGTGCCTGACAACATCCCTCTGTGCAGCTGCCTGACTTCCACAGCCCCAGGAGACTGGAACAGCTGAGAGGGGCAGAGTCCAGTTTCCTCCTGGAAGATGTCTCTGTGTTAACAGAAGTTTGGGGGCCAGGTCTCAGAGGAAAAGCCAATCCAGGCAGCAGCCAGGGTACCGAGAAGGGCCCGGCACTGGTTCTGGCCCCCCAGCTCTGCTAGTACATGTGATGTCAGGTAGCTCAGTGGTCCTATATCTGCCTTGGTTTCATCATCAGAAGGTTAAAAATGGTACCTTCCTGGGGTTTTGGTGAGGATGGAATGATTTAATGCTCTTAAAGCACTAGAGCTTCCTCCATATTGAGCCTTCAGCAAATGCCGCTCCTACTGTCTTGAGACTGAGTTTACTCATCTGTGTAGTAAGTGTTTGACTGTAGGAACCTCAAAACCCTGCAGACTTGCTAACCTCTGTGACCTGTGTGCTCCACAATGAACAGCGGGGGCTGAGGCTAGTGTTTTTCTTTCTGATTTTAGGGGACAGGACTCTGGTTCCATCACAAAAGCTGTTCTCCTGGCTAAGTGCCACACTTGTGTGTCCATCACCTGTGGATGCCTGTCTGTGGGGTCTCCAGTTTGGGGTAAATAAAGCCACTACAAATCAGCATGAGCTGGTCTTCATACAGATGTGTTTTCCGTTCTGAATGAATACCCAGCCCAGCCTGAATGCTGCCCAGTGATCTAGTCACATATCTTACAAGCACCATGTTCAAGGATGCAGCCCAGCCATGCAAGATATCAGTTTCTAAAACATGCTGTCTTGGCCCCATTTTGAGGTCCTGGCTGAGGCCATTCAGTGCCCCCTTGAGCAGCTGAGTAAGTCCATACCCCATCATTGCCCTTGTGAGACTCTCAGGCTGTGAAGCCACAGTGCACCTCTCCAATCTTTCTGGGGCCAGATGCCAGATACATAGGGACAGAGCCCCAGCCAGGAGACCAGGAAATGGTCCAAATGAGCTCCTGCAAGGAAGCCTGTGAAACCCACCTGCAGGGCTGCTTGCTCACTGTCACAGTGCCTGAGCACAAGTCTCTGTGTGGTCCTTCCTGGCACCCTGCTCTTATTAGAAAGCAGACAGGAGAGTCCTGCCTTTTGATTTGTGGAGTGGCACTGCGATGGCCCCAACAGCTAAAGTGATCCTCAGATCCCAGCGTCATGATCCCATAGGTGTCAACCACTTACCCAGCCAACATCAAAGAGGCACAGCCCTGCCTGCAGCTTGTCTGCTATCTCCTCACTCCCATTTTTGTCTGTGGGTCTCATGAGCCCAAGGTGGGTATCATGTACTGGGACAGGCAAAGCTGGTGTGTCTCACCAGATCACTCCTTCTGATGCTGGTATCCAGTCAGCACCCAAACAGTGCTTCTGGAGTAAACCATGTCTGGACAAGATGTCCAGAATGTAATTACCACACAAGAGCTGTTAGCTGTGGTTGGCTCTGTTGTCATGAAAAGTAGCGCCTTCCAAATCAAAAGGTGGGGATTCCATGGCACCATGCAACTCCCAGTAGCAGAAGGAAGAATTTATCCCCTGAAGACAACTGAAATCACAGATGCCTCCTGTCAAGACACAGCAGTGACTAGCAAGACTTTCTCGTGCCCTAATCCAATCAGTCCCCACACAGGAGCCCCCAGAAGAAGGTTGTGAGCCCCTTTACAGACTGAGAAACAGAGCCCACTGCTGGTTGTGGCAGAGCCAGCTGGAGCAGGGTGTGCCTTTGACTTGGCCTGGATTGCCCTAGGGCCAGTGCCTGCTGCAAGAGGGACCCATGATGACCTAGGGGAGTGAGCTGGAGCCCTGCCTGCTTTGTCTGCACCTCAGGATGCCAGCTGCTAATGTTCTTCCCTAGATCCTGTTCGAGACCTTCAATATACCTGCCCTGAGCTTAATCAATCAAGGAGTCCTTTCTCTATATGCTTCTGGCCAAACTTCTGGTAAGTGGCCCTCGGCGATCCCCACTCACACATCCTTGTCCCTGTGACTGGAGACTGGTAACACTCTATAACACACAGCCTACTCTCTCCCTGACAAATAATCAAAGACAACTCTTCAAAGCTCACACCCCTCTGCCCCTTTCCTGACTCCCTCCGCTTTCATCCTTCCTAGTTAAATAGGCCTCTCCCAGACATTAACAATTTGCTAGGCTCACTTTTTCTTTTAACAGCTTTACTGATATGTAATTGACATTTAATAAACTGCATATGTTTTAGGTGTACAGTTTGAAAAGTTCTGACATGTGGATGCACTCACGAAACCATTACAACCACCATGAGCAAAATCTTTGCTGTTACCTGAGTAATTATTTCTGATTTCATTTTCCCCAGATCCTCTTTTGTTGCCAGTTTAGAGAGTCCAGGTGGTTGAGTATCAGACTGTTCCATCTTGTTTCCCTTTGGGGTTGCTGTAGGTGATCTGGAACTCTGTTTTTGAGGCTTGTTTATGTGTTTTTTCATTTCCATGGGGAGGGCGGTGCTTCTGGTGCCCACGCGGCTCACCTTCTCTGCCCTAGGAGCTTGGGATGGCAGTGGGGTAGCTTCCTTCCAGGTGCTGGGACCAGCTCACCTTTGCCCTAGGAGCCTGGGATGGCAGCAGGGGAGCTTCCTTCCGGATGCTGGGACCGGCTGAGCTTCTCTGCCCTGGGAGCCTGGGATGGAGGCAGGGAGCTTCCTTCCAGGTTCTGGGACCAGCTGAGCTCCTCTGCCCTAGGAGCCTGGGATGGAGGCAGGGAGCTTCCTTCTGGGTTCTGGGACCGGCTGAGCTCCTCTGCCCTAGGAGCCTGGG